CTCTCTCTCTCTCTCTCTCATTCATATTCATTGTATAATAACTAATATGAAATGTATTGTATGTAATGATAGCCAACAGTTGTGGACCCGATATCATTCAAAGTGTGGAAAGACGAGGCCTTTAGTCTATGGCGCGACAAATGGGGACATCTGTACGAAGAGGACAGTCTGTCCCGTCGGGTATTGGACGACATTCACGACAACTATTATTTAGTCAATTTAGTGGACAACGAGTTCCCCAAAGAGTGCTGTCTTTGGCAACTACTGGAGGATATGTTCACAATTAGGAGCGGTTTTGAAATCAACAAATTTATTAATTATTTTTTCTAAATGTCATTTTGTAATCGTATGGTGTGTTTATTTAAATGATTAGGCGCTTAATGTGACCATTTATGATGATTGTAATATTATTGAATAATATTGCACATTGATTATTTATAATTATCAACTTATTTTTTAATTCAGACTCGCATTGAAATCTTAAACAACTTTTTACCAACTCTTTTAGTAATCGATGTATTTTTAATGAAAATAAAATATTCCAGAAATTCACAAATCTACTAATATGTTAATTAAAATCATTTTTTATAAAATACTTACTGAAAAATAGGAACAAATTCAAGACAAGTCAACACAGTATTTGTGCATTAAAACAATGATTTAATAATAATAACCAAGGGCAAAAACATAAAAATACAGAATATTACTTTATGAGCCTTATTTATTATAACATCACACTTAAGGAACCTTTTTGTAATTAATCAATTACCATATTTATATTTATTAGATTTACTTATTTAAAATATAACACTTTTAATATTTTTATAAAATATTGATATTTTTAATTAATTGCATTTTGAAATGTTATTAAATATCATGTCTTACTTTTGTGCAATATTAACGTGTTTAATATTTTGATTAGCAAAAACATTATGGTGTTTGTATAAAATGCATCAGCATATCGGTTAAAATTTAAAAATGATTAATTCATTAAATTAAACAAACAAACATATTTTATTGTTACCATGGGTATTTATTCAATTATATTAATTGTAAATATTACACTCAATATATGGCTCACTAATTGCGATGAATTGATGCTTAAAGACTTGATAACAAAAGTTTGACATTATTTATAAATATTGTTATATTGCTGTTCAAAACAATGATTAAACATATATTTTACAATTAGATAAATTTAAAGTCAAAGACATTCAATTGGTGTAAAATATTTAAAATGGATTTTCCGGAGAAAAAGCATGTAATAAAAGTAAGACATGCTATTATCACAATTAATTCACAACATAATTAATAAATTATAACTAAATTATTATATGTGTTTAGTTGGAGACTATATTCAAACCGTACAAATATCTGAAGACATCGAGGTTTATACACCATCTGGTGCTCTGGGTTTGCAGACAACCCAATGCGGCCGTATTGGACGAGCACAGCGGCGGACCGGGCATTGACTGCACCGACACCAATGACATACCCGACGACTATAAAACATGTTTCAATGTATTTTTGAATCTCGATAATCCGGACTTTGTGTTTGACACGGGTTTGGACAATGCCATCGCTGTGGGCGACCACTACTCCCGATATCTTATGCTTAACGCACACATTAATGTGGATAACGAGGAGTTTATCGGCCGCGACATCGATGTAGGGGTGAGAATGTGGTACACGAATGACTACCGGAGCAATGAATTGCAACAACTGGTTACCGGCGCCCATCTCTCCTTATATGGCACTATAATTCCGGCCCGAATGCAGCGATTCGTGAACGTTGGCCACTGTGGCGGACAGTGTTTGAAAGATGTAAATTATTGTTATTATTTATGAATATTGATTGACACAATTAATTAATTTTATACCCCAATTGCAAAGATACCATCGGATGGCATAACACTAACCCATGTTTATCCGCATTATCACGATTATGGTAACAGACATATAGTTAAATATTGGTCGATAATGTAATATATTGCTAACACAATGGCATTCATTTGTTATTAACAAATAATAGGCCAAAAGATTCAGACGAGACATTTTCGCGGAGACGAAGAGTTGCCACTAATTGTGGATCAATTGGGAACCTCTGGCTATCGCAAGTTGGATAAAGAGATCAAACTGTTGCCAAACGATACGATTACCACTGAATGCACTTACGATACATCGATGGCCAACCAGACAATATTAGCCGATGTAAGCAACATGATCAATTTGTTACGTTATCTATAATTATCCACATATTTTCCAACAACAGGTCCGCCATATGTTTAATAATGAGAAGTGTTTGACATATTTCATGTATTATCCGCGCATTTATAACGATATACTTTTGCCGCAAACTTGTTTCAGTGGACTAACAAAAAGCGCGTTGCTTAAGGTGTCCGATGTTGAGGACGATTTATCGGGGTATTTCACATTTTAAATCATCATCTAGTTGAACATAAATACAGTATACTGTTTTACCAATATCAATTACACCTACCATTAGTTATTGGTACTCAAATCAGCCGACAATTGTGGGCCAAAACGAGAAAAAACTATCGCAACATTTGTATGAGAAGACCAATTGGAAAGATGACGTACAGGAGCTGATCCAGTACTCTAGAAAGCGGGTCCGATGCGACCAATTCGAGAGCGTCGATGACATTAAACCCGTTCAATACGTTAATTACCCTGATCACTTTATACCACATGAATTACTTCACAAATACAGACACCAGAGCGAGACAACTGATGCCGACTCGTCTCTATTGCCTCCCGACTACAGGAGCCGTATTAATGGACAGACATTCAGTGAACGGCCGAAAAGGAGTGGAAATAACAATTTAAACAATGAAAGTGGGGGTAATTTTTTCGATGGGAGTCGTTATAGTGAACAAAACCCTAAACAACGGGACAATCAACAAAACACAAGCGACCCGTTATTAAAGGACAGCTTTTACAGCGAAAGCCGTTACGCGAGTGACAATCGCGACGACAAACCCAGTTATGGCAAACACCGGAGTAGTGACAAACCCGGCGACAATCGTCACAACACTACTGACCCATCATTTAAGGACAGTTTTTACGACTATAGCCAGTATCACAGCGAACCCTATTATAGTGAACCAGATATTGACCCCAAAAAGTCTAACCCGAAGACATATGCGGACAAAGCCATATCTGAGGGCAGTTTCTTCCGGGAAAACGGCCGTAAAAACAGTACCGCAACCGAAACGGTAAGCGTTACGGACGACAACTATGAGCTGAATTTGCCAAAAAATCATTGGCGCAGAAAGTGGGCCCGACATCGCAGAGTGACCCGTAAGCCCACCCAACTCGCTACAGTACTTGCGGTCTAGTTCATAATTAAATGAGATAACAAGTAGTTATTTTAAATAAACAGTTAAATCATGACATTTTAATTAATAAATACTAAATTAACGACAAAAATGGGATATAAATTAACTCATAAATAGCTGTTTAAGGGATAAATTGAAAAATAATGTACCTGTACATTTAAATACTAATTATATAATTAAATATATAAATATAACAACTAAACAAATACTGATTAACTTAATTACACATAGAATTTGAGAATTAAATAGTAATACAATTATTATAGATATAAAATAGAGATCAATAAAAATATAAATATATATAATATATAAATATTAATGATTTGCATAACAAATAAACACAAAAAAGCTCAGAATATCAATCATTAAAAATCGATTGCAAATATAATCGATTGACAAATCAATCAGTGATTACTATCTCCTCCTCTGCGGCCATCGACCACATCGTTGTGGTCATCGTTCGCATCGTTATTGTCCTCATCGTCTTCGTTGAGATTATTATTGTCCTCATTGTTATGATTATTGTTTTGATCCACACTTTGATCATCGAAATGGAGATAACTGTTCAACAGATCCCTCAACTCGTCGACCGCTTGCTTACGACCGCCGGGCGACGTCTCGTAGACGCACTCACGCAACAGGTCGTCCACATTCTCGCGATCCTTGTTTGGCACTGAACTCAATAGACCGGTCCGAACGCTGGCCAACGGCGACGGGTGACCACCGCTCGGACGACCACTACTACCACTCGGCGGCCGTTGGCTATCATCGCCGGCGGCGGCGGACATCTCGAGCGACGAGAATATATTGCGACAAATCATTGCATACATGTGTTGGCCGTAATAGAGGTGAACGCGTTGGCACTCGAGTGACGGCAGACTCGATGTGGTGTTGAAGGCCTCGAGGAAGCGCTTGTGGAATGTCTGAAAACAGGGTTCGTTACAGACCTGACTGTGCAAAAGGGACTGTTGGCGGCGCAGTGAGTGGTCTTCGAGCAGAGACTTGTCGATCACCAGCATATGGTTCAGATCCGAGAGGAATACTTCGCCCTCTGTGTTGACCACATATGAATCGATGGTCAGCTCTGTGTGCAAGTAATACCAGTTCGGGTCCTCGTCCTGCAGATCGTCCACCAGTTGTATGATCTGAACGGCGAGTCCGGCGATCACTTCGAAACTCTTCTCCGCCGCTATAAAGTCGGCCAGAGTTTGGAAATTGCCCTCAAATGCCACTAAACGGCCGCAAACTCCTGGGCGACGATAAATACGGGCAATTGTTAGTCAAAAACAATGGCAAAACAGTGATTATCTCTTTCCCTTACCTCTAATCTTAAGCGTCTGGAGATCGGTCTCACTTTTGGATAGCATGCGGTGAACGGCATAACCGGGAAATGCCAGCAAAGAGCTCAACAGATGGCTTTGTTCCGACAGATCCACCCGTTTGTCATCATTGGTATCAAAACTGTTTTGCAATAATTGTAAATACTTTTTGGTCGTACACTGAGTGAACACTCCCTATGTTTACATTAGTTATATTAATAAAACACTTAATTCGTGGATCAGTTGATGCAATACCTGTAAAAATAGTTCATTTTGTTGGTGTCCGCCGTTTGCGCGCATTTGCATCACAATCTGTCGGAACAGATGACGATAGTTGTCGATTGCGAAGAGATCCGATTTGGCCATAAATGAGTTGCGAACGGCCAGCGAGTGATCACAAGTGGCCACTCTTTGAGAAGCGTTGGCGCAGACAATCGATTCCAGACGCGACCACTTGTCCGATGACTGACTCATTAGCGTTATCTTCTCGTTCGTTGTCTTCATCACAGCGTTTCTCAACGATATATCTGTCCATTCGATCAATCAATGAGTGAATCAACAAAAGTGATAATCAAAATGGCGATGACATACAGGAGGGAAGCGCTGGCGCTGTAGTGACCAATAGATTGGTGACCAGAGTGTGACAGAAGTCAATACCGAGACAGAGGTCGCACTTCTTGAGCTCAGACAAGTCGACCAGTTTCTTGTCGTACACGCCCTCAATGTCGATGATATTGGTGTCAATTGTGGTCAACAGACGCCACGTTAGATCATCGGCGGCTATGGGCTTGTCGTCAACGGCCGACTCCTGAGCCGACGGACTGTGACGGCCATCACCGCCACCGCCGCCTCCACTGCCGACCCGTCTCCTGGCGTCCAATGAGCGCAAATCGGCGGTCAGTCTCTTGTGATTCCAATAGAGGACAACAATCAACGCCACCAGAAGACAAGTGATGACCAGTTTTCGGCGCCACTGTCTTAACGTCATCGTCGGTCAGCGTATGGGATGTGTAGTGTGTTTACCACGGGTTCAGCCCTGCCATCAATTGGGCAAAACAGTTGTTCCGCTCATTCAAAGACATGTCGCTGTGTGCGATGGCATTGTCACCATTGCCTCAACAGATCCAACCTATGCTATACACAACATTGGGATCAGTTGACACGAAACAGTTCTTTGTTATCTCTGTTATAACTGTAAACCTCTTTGTTTTAGTGACAATACCTCTGCGGGGAAGTCATCCGATGGCGTGACCAACACGTGGTGTGCAAACGAGTCGACTGTTGTTTTGGCCACAAATTGTTGGACAAAACAAAGACAATTCAAGTGTCAAAACAGACCACAAATCATGTGTTAAAACATATGCCAAATAAAACAATAATAAACTTTTCACCAAATTATATGACATTTCAATATCATATTTATTATGCAAATCAACACTAATTACGGCCTTTAATAATCACAACAAGTCATTCAACTTTCGCCTCGTATTCAATGGCTTTTCATATAAAAAAGGGGACAAATATTACGGTATATTAAGTGACGTTATTTATGTCAAAACATACAACACTTTGAGTACATGTATAGTGAGTGCCATCTGATGGCCACAACACGTGTGTGTGGTTTGCGTTGAGTGTAGTGTTTGAGTGTGTGTTTTGATTGTCTTCATCGGTAACCACACGTCACTCACTCTCGGCTCAGACAATGTCGTCGGCTTTGGATCAGTTGGAGACCAATCTGGAGTCGCTGACCGAGAATGTGCGACAACTGGGTATAATCGTGTCGGACTTCCAGCCCCAGGGTCAGGGACAGACCGCTCTCAACACCAAACTGTATGTATTGTTTGTGGTATATTGTCATCACTCGTGAGGGCCGAGTGGTGTTGACACACACTTACCATTCAATTGTCGCAATAATGTGATTGTCTTTCTTTATGTCTACCAAATAGTAATCAAATCGTGACATCACTGCAAGACATCGATCGCATCAAGAATGACATGACCGGCAAAAGCAGTGACATTCAGGTCCCGCTGGAAGTGTTTGAGTGAGTGTTTTTCTCCCAGAGATAATGATTTGTCACTTCTGGTGGCCATCCAATTGATCCATTGGTGATGTCTTATAATTGGTGTTATGACGACAGGTATATCGATGAGGGAAGGAATCCACAGCTCTATACGAAAGACTGTATGGAGAAAGCGCTGCAGAAGAATGAGTTAGTGAAGGGAAAGATCGACTCCTATCGGGTCAGTACCACAGCTATAGTCTTGTACTGTAATGGATGTGTCCATTGAAACGAATCGATGGCTAATTTGATGAATGTATTAATGATTGTCTTATTATTTGCATTTTGTTGATCAGAGATTCAAAGCCATGCTTTTGGTTGAGTTGTCGAAAGTGTTTCCCAACGAAATCAGCAAATATCGGGCCGTTAGGGGCGACGAAAGGCCCTCCAACTGATCACTCGCTTTTTACCGTATTGATTAAACATGGGATAAACGTGGGTTAGTGTTATCCCTTCCGATGGCATCGACTATATTTGGTGTCACAAAAAAACCATTTAATTAATAAAATAAAATTGTGTATTAAATGCCCAATATATACATCTTTAAAGCATTTGCCACTACAGTGGCCAACGTTGACAAAGCTTGACTTCCGGGCGGGTATTATAATGCCGTAGAGCGAGACGTGAGCGCCGGTAATCAATTGCTGCAATTCGTTGCGCCGCCAGTTATTGGTTGTCCACAAACGCATCCCAATCTCCACTTCGCGGCCAATGAACTCCTCCTTCGCGACGTCGAAGCGAGCGTTGATCATGAGATACCGCGAGTGTTGGTCACCGATAGACAGCGCGTTATCGTAGCCGCTCTCGAAGATCTGGTCCGGATTGTCCAACACGAAGAATATGTTGAAACAGTGTTTGTACTCCGAGGGCAAGTCACTCATGTCCGTACAGTCGACGCCCCGGGAGGTCGAGTGCTGATCAAATATACTCGGGTCCGGGTGTCGACACACCCATAGCACCAGATGCTGCACAAACTTAGAGGCCTTCATATACCGGTACGGCTTGAATATACTCTCGACCTAAACACGAATAGCATAACATTGTTTAAGATCTTCATATTTACCACGATTTTTATATGAAAAAGTTTATTGAAATTATTTTTTTAATTACTTAATTATTAAAAGTGTGGTCATGAAGCAGAAGGGCTGGCATTTTACACCAGTTTTCATAATACACGCCAACATTATATCATATAATTTATATGGTATTATCCATACGTTAATTCATGAATGGATTTCATAAATACCTTAACAACATGTTTCTTGTCATCAATTTTAGTGATTTTACACCAATTAAACGCTTTTGACTTTACATTTAACTGTAATTTAATCGAATTAATCATTTATTTTGAAATCAAAATAATTATTAAATTAAAACAAAAATTAAGAAAAAATGCAAAATACCTTAATTGTTAAATCCTTAGGTTTTAATTCCTCGCAATTATTAAATAATACATTAAACGATACATTTATAACAAATATAATTATAAATGTTTTCATAATATACATTGTGTATATGTTTTATCATGATTTAATTAATACATGCCTAATTGGTTTAGACATAATTAAAAAATACAGTAAAGGTCTGAGGCTATCATGTTTTACCCACAAGTTTCACTTGTGTTGGTTTTTCTACCAAACAGTATGTTTGAAATAATTGCATTTAATTAAGCAATTAATGAGAAATAAATTTAATTTAAGTAAATTAATATTGATTTTTAACCCAAAAATATAACGCCATAATTAATATTGATTACCGTATAATTTATAAATGTCATTAATGTGCTGCAAGTTGTTTTATGGTACTAAATAAATTTATTATTTTAATTAATATATAAATTATAATTACAATTATAAAAATGGTTTACATGAGAGAGAAAGAAAGAAAGAAAGAAAGAGAGAGAGAGAGAGAGAGAGAGAGAGAGAGAGAGAGAGAGAATGGAGTGATCAGTTGGAGGGCCTTTCGTCGCCCCTAACGGCCCGATATTTGCTGATTTCGTTGGGAAACACTTTCGACAACTCAACCAAAAGCATGGCTTTGAATCTCTGATCAACAAAATNCCGCGCACTTATAACAGCAGACTTTTGCCGCAAACCTGTTTCAGTGGCCTAACGGAGAGAGCGCTGATGAACGTGTCCGGTGTGGACTCAGAGTTGGCCGGGTATGTGTTGGCGCATATCATGTTGTTTTTTTTACAGTAATTGTAATTATTAATGTAAAGCTAACTTATGGTTATCATCACAACAGCTATTGGTACTCAAATCAGCCGAGACTTATCAGCCGTCAGTTTAATCGCAAAAAACTGTCTGAATATCTGTACGATAAGACTGACTGGCGGTCCGACGCGCAGGAGATACTGCGGTACTCGCGAAAGAGGATCCGCTGCTCGATGTATGAGAGTGTGGACGACGACCGGCCCGTTCTGTACGTCAATTATCCCAATAGATATTTGCCGTCACATTTGGCCGACAGATACCGCGATCCCGACGGCGACCGCGACAGTCGTGATCGCTATGATAGGGAGTACTCGTCACGCAATAGCGACAATTGGGACAAAGACAGAGACAGCGGCCGATACAAGAGTGATAAGGATAGGGATAGTAAGTACCGTTCGGGTGATTATCGAGACCACGACAGGGATTACAGCAATAATTATAGCCGACATAGAGATGGAAGAGATAGTGATTCACGTGAATACCGGAATAGAGACACAGATCGATACAGGGATGAGAGGGACAGGGATAGAGATAGAGACAGGAGTAGGGATAGAGACGACAGTAGAGATAGGGAGAGAGATAGAGAAAGGGAGAGGGAGAGAGAAAGGGTGAGG